CCTCATGGACACACCCAGAATGTGGCCTGACATTCCTCAACCCCTGGCTTGACTGTGCTGCTCTGCAATTTATAGGCGATTGTGAGTAGGTGTGAAAATACAGTCTATATAAACCATCAGAGTCCCGGACATACAATAGACGTTTGTTCCCATCGAAAAACTCACACATTGACTTTAAGAAACGCACAGTTATGCCTTGATGAGCAAAACACCTTACTGATAATAAATTGTCCACTGACGGGCAGTAAATGCAGTTCGCTATTGTAATGTTTAAAGAGTCAAGTTTAACAGTACCCCTGCCAAGCGACTGCAAGACTTGTGAATTGGCTAAATGTACATTACCAATTTCCTCTTCGAAAGAAATAAACAAGCTTCGATTGTTGCAAATGTGCTGGGATGCACCTGAGTCCACAATAAAAGAATTCCACTTGGCACCTTTAATTCTTTTACGATCTGTAGTCCGAGCGTGAAAAGCTCGCGGCTCGTTTCTGTCTTTACAATACGATGTTGGCTGCTGGGCTGACGACTGTGACTGATGAACAGAAACAGACTTGGAAGTACTTTGCTTTCTTTTGGATCTGCATTCCTTTGCAAAATGTCCCTGCTTATTGCAGAACCAACAACGCTTGGCAGCTTTAAATGCAGTTGTGTCACCACAAGTTTGCATATGGCGTTCCTCATTACTTCTGGAAATAGGAGAGCTTATGGCACAAGCCTTCCTTCTATCCAACTCGCCCATTAATCTTGCTGTTACCCCTTCCACAGTTAATTGTGCTAGTGGAACGGCAGATATCTGGCTAGCTACACCATCAAAGTCCTCATTAAGGGAACAAAGAATGATAAAAACATACTGAATATCAGGGATTTCCATGTCCCTTCTAATTAATTCGCAGCGTATTGCCTCCATACGTCTCAAGTGTGCTGCCAAATCAGCACCAGGCTGCAACTTCGTCTGGTACAGCTGCTTGAAAAACGTCAATGCAGACGCTGACTCATTTCTAATATGCACTGCTGCAAGACTGTCCCACATTTCTTTGGCAGTTTTCTTATTCCTTATATAGACTACTTGCTGGTCGCTGACTGCCAAATTAATTATCGCCCTGGCTTTTGCATCTCCTTTCGACCAAGCATTAGTCACAGGGTCAGGAGGGTCATCAGTTACATAGGTCCATACTTCTCTAGAGGTCAAAAGCACCTCCACCCGAAAAGACCATAAACTATAGTTCTCATCTGTCAGCTGTGGGAAGACCAGAGCCTTCTCAGCTTCTGGAACCCATTCTGGAACTCTTCCAGACCCACTGAACTACGCCAACAGGAGAAGGAGTTTTCAAACCTTTCTCAGAGTCCAAAAATATGCAGTCATCCACTCAGCAGCTGGGCCCATAACCAAAGATGTTGGCTATTTGCAGTTTAGTAGCGCAGCAGAGAGCTTGCTGGGAGACCATGCATTAAAAAGGGACTCAAAAATAACTTAAACAAGGTTTTAATTACAAAAACAAAAACTCCTTATACACTAAATACATCAACAACAAACCAGACCCAACCACCAACCCATCCCCCAGGATAATGGGAGAGCTAGGTGCTGCTCCTTATATACTACACCCAATTGCTGACACAGCTTAATCAATACAACTCAGCAGCACTTGCTATGTTTCACAGCTGTAAAGCTGGATCTCGTTATTTTGCTCTGGCCCCTTAAAGACATACACATCGGGTGGGACAATGATGAACCTTTACATTTAAAGAAACCATTCAACAAAGAAATCTGAAGGATTTGATTCATAAGGACCAAGCTGGTTTTCTTCCCGACCGATTTACGATTACTTGCTGGAATGTACAATGTACGATTACTTGCTGGAATGGGACACTAAGGACGAGTTAGTAAAAGAAGTTATGATAAAGTGGGTGATCGATTTAAAAGATTTAGAAATTTGGTCAAATTTGAAGCTTTCACTGCTGGGCCGTATTGCTGCGGTAAAAATGAATGTATTGCTTAGAATGTTGTTTTTGTTTCAAACATTGCAAATTGTGGACAAAATGGACTGTTTCAAGAGGTGGCAGAGAGATATTTCTAGATTTGTCTGGCAAGGCAAGAAGCTGTGGGGATGCAATAGAAAAATAGCACCCTTGTGCAAGATTGTGCAAGAGGAAGCATCTGCTGACTTGTTCCCCCACCGCCTGGGTCACTGTCGCGCTGCCTAACCACAAAGCTTACGCGGCTGTCATGCTGTCTGGAGTTATGTCCTGGTAGAGAATAGTTATTCTAAGAAATGCAAACCCTAGCTGTTTTCCACCCGAGTGCTACACGTGTATATGCAACATGATGTAATGTGCGCAAGGCTAATAAACATGCAAGGCTGCTGGGAGAAGAGCTCACTCCTTGCTTAAACCTTCACCCATGACTCTTCGTCATTTTCCTCCGCACCTGGTGGGCTGGTTCCCCGACAAATGGTGCCCCGTGTGATTGCCTGAACGGCTTCCAGGACGCGTGCTGTCAAAGACGGTCCTCCCTGCTACTCACCCGCCCGGCTGTGGCTCAAGGCGCCTTCTCATCTTCGGATCCCCGGTGAGTAGCTATTTTCTATTTTTATCATGGGTTCTGCGCTCTCCAACCCTCAGAAACAATTTTTAAAAGACATGCAGCACCTCCTTCGGGAAAATAAACAGCAAGTACCTGAAGGTGATCTAATTGCATTGATTCTGGCCATAGATGAACATTGTCCATGGTTCCCTGAGGACGGGACATGGGAAATTCCAGCATGGGACAAAATTGGCGACCACTTTCATGGCCATGGCCGCATAAATGTTCACGTCCTCAGTGCCTGGGCTAAAGTCCGTGGCTGCATGGCAACTCTTACGCCCAAAAACATTCTCTTGGCTTCGTCGCAACCAAAACAAAAAACAGCATCTGCGTTAGATGCACCGCCTCTACCACCACCTTTTACACCTCCTCCACGACCGCCAGATTCTCAGCCTTCACCGGCACCGTCTGCTCCACCCATTAATCCTCAATCGCACCCACCGACGCCACTGGGGACTGCTATTAAACAAGCAGCCCCCCTCTTAGGTTTTTCATCTGGCACAGAACTTTTTCCTGTCTTGGTACCTGCTGGACCAGGGGGAGGGCCACCTCGTCATGAACAATTTGACTATAGACTAATTAAAGAGGTGCATGACTCCGTCCAGAAAAACGGCATCCAGGCTCCTTATACCTTGGGTCTGTTGAACACTATTTTTCAGCAGCCCTGTCTTCCGGAGGACATAAAATTGTTGGCTAGGACCATACTGCCACCGTCTGGAGTCATTGTATTTATGCAGGAATGGCAATTTCTGTGCCAACAAGAAGCCCCAAATGTTGCCATGGCTTTAAACAATGCAGCAGCAGCAGCAGCGGCCGCGGCTCCAGCACCTGCCACAGGAGGAGCACCTCCCCCCCTCCTCCAGTCCTTACTCCTCAGGACGTTATGCATGGTCTTATTGGAACTGGCAATTTTTTTACCATCGCCCAACAGATTGCTGCAGGCGCTGCATATTGGGAAGTTGCTACCCGCTGCGCCCAGACAGCGTTTCAAAAGGTGCCTGACACGAAGGGTGACAGTACGTCCCGTTGGGGTACTGTTCGCCAAGGTCCAAATGAGCCATATGCTGCCTTTATCGATCGCCTATATGACTCTTTGAAGCACCAAATAGCAGACACTCAAGTTCAGGAGGTGATCTTGAAACAACTTGCCTTTGATAATGCAAATGAGGATTGTAGAGTGGCACTTCGCCCTCTGATCAGCCAGCAAGGGATAAACATAGCCGACATGCTAAAGGCTTGTCAGTCCATCGGCTCAGAAAGCCACAAGGCATGGCTAATTGCCGCAGCTTTATGCCAGGCTGCCAACCCTATGAAAGACAAACTTTGTTTTGGATGCAATAAGCCTGGCCATTTCCGCGCACAATGCCGCTCCACTGGCAGTCAGTCTGGAAAGCGCCCCCCCTCTAAGTGTCTTATCTGCAAGAAAGGCTTTCACTGGGCAAATCAATGCCACTCAAACCCTGCTAATCAGAATCAAACCTCTAGCCAAGGACAATCATCCCAGAACCAGGGAAACCGGCCCGGGCCCCAGTAAATCAATAGGGGGACAATGTCTGATGCCACAACTTATTCTCACTCAGGATGTACGATTCCCGGTTCCATTTTGTCCTCACAAAGCCTTGGTTATGGCCTGTGGATTTGCTATAGACAATTCTCAACGTTGTCTTGTCTTGCCACTTGCCTCTGCACAAACTGTTGGGGTATATGCTGTGCCTGGAACCATTCAAGGACCCTATAATTCAATCACCATTACGCTATATGCTGATCGTCCCTGCCATCTCCCATCTGGCACGCCAGTGGCTAAAGTCATACTGCTCCCTGCGGATGCCACAACTCCTACAGATACCCCCTTAATTGCTGCTGCAATGCCTCTCACAGCTCAGCGCCCTACCTTAAAAATGACACTGGGTGGACGTGAGGTAGAGGGGGTTCTAGATACAGGGGCAGACGTTACTGTGATTGCTAAACAAGACTGGCCTCCCGAATGGCCCACGAAGGCAGCTGCCCAAGTTTTGGGTGTCGGGGGAGAAACCCCAGCTTGTCAAAGCCTTCACCCAATTATGATTCAAGGCCCTTCGGGTCTTTCTGTCACCATTTATCCTCTCATTTTGGACATTCCTGTCTGTCTATGGGGACGGGATGTTCTTGAAGCCTCAGGCTCTTCCATTCAGACAAATTTATTCTAAGGGCCACCCCTGCACACCCGAGGACCACGCTAGCCCTCACCTGGACATCAAACACGCCTGTTTGGGTTGAGCAATGGCCTCTGACTAAAGACAAACTTGCAGCGGCGGCCCAGCTTGTCTCGGAACAACTTCGCCTCGGACACATAGAGCCTTCTTCCTCCCCATGGAATACACCAATTTTTGTCATCAAAAAGAAAACCTCTGGCCATTGGAGGCTCATTCAGGATTTAAGGATGGTAAACAACCAGATGCAACCTATGGGCGCATTACAGCCTGGTTTTCCTAATCTTAATATGATACCAAAAGACCACAAACTTCTGGTGGTAGATATAAAAGACTGCTTCTTTTCCATACCACTAGCCCCGGCAGATCGTCAGCGTTTTGCCTTTACATTGCCTGTTCTCAACAATGCTCAGCCAACGGAACGCTACCAATGGGTTGTATTGCCACAAGGTATGAGAAATTCTCCAACTTTATGCCAGCACTTTGTCAATTTAGCCCTAAAACCTTTTCGCCAGCGCCACCTAGAGGTTATTTGTTGTCATTACATGGATGATATCCTTGTGGCTGCACAGGACATATCAATGGAATTATTAAAAGACCTTACATCTGCCCTCACAGATTTTGGACTGTGTATTGCCCCAGATAAGGTTCAGCAAACTTTGCCTATGTTATATCTTGGACATAAATTGACACAACAAGCTGCCATTCCGGTTGTTCCCCAATTGTCTTTTCCTGCCCGCCTACGGCTGGTTGACCTTCAACAACTTTTGGGACACCTGAATTGGATTAAGAATTACCTTAATCTGCCTACTAGCACCTTGTCACCATTGTTTTCTGCCTTACAAGGACACAAACTACCCGGAGAAGTCATCCCAGTTACAGAAGAAATGCTACAAGCCTTACAACAGGTTAATGCTTTATTAAGAGACCGAATGGTGGATCGCATAGACACTCTGCACAATGTGCAGTTATCCTTGGCAATTTTTTCCACACCTTTGCTGCCTACAGCCATTCTCTACTCACAGAAATCGGCTGCCCCCTCGGGTGTCAGCATTGTGGAATGGATCCACCTTCCGCATACTCCACCGCGTAACATTTATTCCTCTCCAGCGGCTGTAATGGATTTGGTAATTAAGGGCACGCTCGAGCAAAAGCCCTCTCTGGACTGGACGTTGAAAAAATTTACCTGCCTTTTTCACTCACAGAAACACAACACCTGATTTCCACCTCCGTGGCTACTCAAGTAGCACTTGTGGATTTTTTGGGAACCATCACGCATAATCCCCCCTCTGATCCACGCCTGTCTTTTCTTTCTCAAACTGTCTATACTTTAAAAACTGCTCTTTCTCCAACCCCCATCCCCTCTGCCCTTACCCTTTTCACTGATGGGTCAAAAACGCGGGGGGTGGTAGCATGGGAAGAGGGTGGAAAATGGAAAACTGAATTTACTGAGCAACAGAGGTCCGCCCAGCGGGCTGAACTTGCTGCAGTAATCCTTGCCTTTCAACTCTTTCCTGACAAACCTTTTAATTTGCTTGTTGATACGCAATATGTGTATCGCCTTCTGTCTTCCCTGCCTGTTTCTTATATCACGCCTGCGTTAGATGCTGATTTGTTTGTTCTTTTTCTACCTTGCAGTATCTTATTCAAGAACGCCGTCATCCTTTTTATGTTGCACACCTTCGTTCCCACACCAATCACCCAGGGTTTTGGCTCAGGGAAATGCCGTGGCAGACGCTGCACTGCGATCTGAAGTGTTTTCCTTGTTTTCTGACCCTATTCTCTCTCATTCTACCTTTCACCAGCCTGCTAAAGTTTTGGCAAAAATGTTTAAAATCCCTATTGCACAGGCACGAGACATTGTCTCTCAATGTTCTACCTGTTCTAAAGCTCGAACCATGATTCCTTTTGATGCGGTGAACCCTAGGGGTACGTCCCCTCTTGCGGTTTGGCAGATGGATGTTACTCACACCCCTCTGCTCGCCCCATTTTCAAAAGTTCACCTGACAGTGGACACCTCATCTGGATTTATCTGGGCCACCCCATTGAAGGGTGAGACCGCTCGTCACGTCATTCAGCACACCCTGCGCTGTTTTGCTGTGATGGGTAAGCCACAAAGCATTAAAACGGATAATGGCCCAGCCTATATCTCCTCTCAGTTTTCATCCTTTTGTGATTTATGGAATGTGAAATTAATCCATGGTTTGCCTTTTAATTCAACAGGACAGGCGATTGTGGAGAGGGCGCACTTGACCTTCAAGACACTGCTGTCCAAACAACTTGGAGGTCGAAATGCCCCCTCCGCCGAGATTCCTTCAATCGTGCATACTGTTTTATTCACTCTTAACCATCTTTTGTATCCCCATAATAGGGAATATACACCGGCTGAGATTCATTTTCGAAAAGCAGAGCCTTTGGCTCGACCTCTTGTATCTTACAGACAGCTACCTGATCCAACATGGCATGGTCCTGTGCCACTCATCTCCTGGGGACGCGGCTACGCGGCAGTGGACCTGGATGGACGGCCTACCTGGTTACCAGCGCGCTGTGTGCGACCCTGGCGAGCTTCTGCCTCGGAAGTGAAAGCAGCAACGAGCCATACTTCACCCTCTCTGGCGGACGTCGCCTTCCTGCAGCCCTGAGTCCCTACTGCACTTGGAGACATCGCCATCTGACCCTGAACGTGCCGTGGTTGGAATCACCTGTAACAGCGATACCAGTCTTTCCTGCAAAACTACCAAACCATCTTGTACCTTACTCTTTGCAAGCTCCACGACGCTTCTGGAACCACACAAAAAGGTTCCATTATGGTTTTGCCGCTGCCTGCTTAGGAAACTCTCCTGGCTATGAAGGATGCCCGCGATATACAGGTCTGGCATGGGTTTTGCCGCCCCGTGATAGTACCCCTATTTGTGTTCCCACCACAAATTGGGAATGGTCTTTCAAACATTCCCTGTCACCAATTAACAAAGCCTATATTGGTCAATTGGGATCATGTGTCTGTCGCACTGGTTGTTGGACTAAACCAGGTTTTTGGTTTCTGAAAAAAGGAAATGTTGCCACCCTCTTTCACAGGGGCTGTGAAGAGGTGGCAGTTGCTGTCCTTTTCCCTTATAACCCATATTGCCCACCTGCACAGCTCATCTGGTTCCTGCAACATTGGCCGAAACAAAAAAATTCTACCGGCTGGCTGCATCCACAGCACTTTCGAAGACATCGACGCTCAGCTAGCCATGATCCCAGCATTTTGTCTAAAATTAATCGTTCAGAGGACTATCATGCTCTCTGGACTGATAATACCTTTGTAAAAGACATGGCTCAATTGTCAAAGATTTTGAATTATACTAATTGTTGGATTTGTATGCACATTCCTCCGCAGGCTCGACGCTCTGGCATATTGTTGCATGGCATCCCCATTAATGATTCTTTTAAGATAAGTAACAATCTCAAGATTAACCGCACACGTTTTCCACCAGTGGTATTGACCTTGTTGGAACCAGCAGATAGGTGTTTTAAGTTTAAACATAACACATCTGTATTTCTAGGGAACTACCCTAATTGTGCTTGGACTTATGAATATGTCAATACCTCCTCTTGTTTCTTGAACACAACCACACGCAGTGGAAGGCCACCAGTAGTTATAGGGAATGTTACCTACCGTATGACATGGGGGCAATATGTCATGTGCAATGATTTTGATGCATGGATACAATGGATGAAAAGAGTAGTAGGACATCCATGGTCTTACAAAATGATCTTTGGCTTTTCTGCGGACGTAAAGCCTATAAGGAAATTCCTAAAAGTTTTTCAGGGATTTGCACCCTTGGTATTGTAGTTCCATTGATTTATAAGTTAGACAATATTTCTTCGCTTCGTCTTCGCAATAAGAGAGATGTTAATGCTCCTATAGTTCATTATGCTGAAACTGCAATTGCTAGGGCTGCCCTGCCCCCTCTTGGTGTTGCCATGAATTACAGGGACCTCCACAGACTCTCCAACTGGACAGAAGGGCTATTCAATGCAACTATAAAAGCCTTGAAAGTAATTAACCAAGAAATGTCCAATATTCGTGAGGTTACCCTGCAGAATCGCTATGCTTTGGACACCATTTTGGCCTCCAAGGGAGGGGTGTGTGGGTTAGTGTTGTCACACTGCTGTATGTATATAAAAGATTATAATCTTAGTATTTCCACAACTATTAATGAAATGGAAGCCATGGTTAAACAAAATCCGATCTCACATCCTCCCATTCCTGACCCTTGGGAATGGCTTTTTTCCTGGCTCCCTGATGGAGTTTGGTTTCGTCATTTATTGCTAATAGGCTTAGGATTGGTTATAGGATTTGTGTGTATTTGTTGTTGCATACAATGTGTTCCCTCGCTGATCACCCAATGTATGGGGTGGTGGTCTTCACGACGCACTTCCTTAGGTGTCCCCCGCCGAGAATATGTTGCCAGATATACGCGCTTTCGCAATGAAATTTATGACTCTGATTAAATAATATAAAAAAGGAGGGCATGTGGGGATGCAATAGAAAAATAGCACCCTTGTGCAAGATTGTGCAAGAGGAAGCATCTGCTGACTTGTTCCCCCACCGCCTGGGTCACTGTCGCGCTGCCTAACCACAAAGCTTACGCGGCTGTCATGCTGTCTGGAGTTATGTCCTGGTAGAGAATAGTTATTCTAAGAAATGCAAACCCTAGCTGTTTTCCACCCGAGTGCTACACGTGTATATGCAACATGATGTAATGTGTGCAAGGCTAATAAACATGCAAGGCTGCTGGGAGAGAGAGCTCACTCCTTGCTTAAACCTTCACCCATGACTCTTCGTCATTTTCCTCCGCACCTGGTGGGCTGGTTCCCCGACAAGAAGCCTAGAATAAAATTTAAAATACTAACAGATGTAAAGGAGAGAGGTGGATTTGCCCTGCCAGACCTTAAACTTTATTATGAATCAGCAGCTTTTTGCTGGTTGAAAGAATGGCTGCTTCTTGAAAACACTGACATTTTGGATTTAGAAGGTTTTAACCATGTATTTGGATGGCATGCATACTTGTGGTATGATAAGGTCAAAGCACATAAAGCATTTAAAAACCATATTGTCAGGAAAGCTTTATTTAATGTTTTGATAAGATATAAGGATTTATTGGAAAACAAAACCCCAAGGTGGCTGTCACCGATGGAAGCGAAAGCCTTGAAAAAGCTCAATATGGAGGTCAAATGGCCAAAATATTGGGAAATTTTGGAACAAGAAGGAGACAAATTGAAATTGCAGAGTTTCGAGAAATTAAAAAACAAAGTGAGAGATTGGCTTCATTATTATCAGATAATGGAGGCATATAAGTTGGATAAGAAAATTGGCTTCCAGGTGGAAAAATCAAAATTAGAAACAGAACTGTTAGAACCCAAAACTAAGAATTTGTCAAGAATGTATAACTTGCTGTTGAAATGGAATACTCAGGATGAAACGGTGAAATCTGCTATGATTAAATGGGCACAAGATGTTGGACATAATATTATGTTTGCTGACTGGGAACAGTTATGGACCACAGGTATGAAGTTTACGGCATGTAATGCCTTAAGAGAGAATATTATGAAAATGATATACAGGTGGTACATAACCCCAGTCAAGCTTGCAAAAATCTACCATTTGCCTGATAATAAATGTTGGAAATGTAAAGAAACTGAAGGTACATTTTACCTTTGGTGGACGTGCCCAAAGATTAAGGCTTTCTGGGAGATGATATATAATGAATTAAAAAAGGTATTTAAATATACCTTCTTGAAGAAACCAGAGGCCTTTCTCCTGGGCATAGTCGGCCAATTGGTGTTAAAAAAGTACAGAACTTTCTTCATGTATGCTACAACAGCAGCAAGAATACTCATCGCAAAGTATTGGAAGACACAAGAGCTACCCACACTGGAGGAATGGCAGATGAAAATGATGGACTACATGGAATTGGCGGAAATGACTGGCAGAATCCGTGACCAGGGAGAAGAGTTGGTGGAAGAAGATTGGAAGAAATTTAAAGATTATTTACAGAAATATTGCAAAATTAAAGAATGTTAGAGTGATGTTGGATTGAAGTTAACTGGCTTCTAGCTGTACAGGCTTGAAAGTCATAAATATATCAAGATTAAGGATTAGGATTAAAAAGGTTAAAAGAATGGAAAAATTGGTTTTTAATAGGTAAAAACTTAATGTTACAATATATTAAGATTAAGGATTGGGATTAAAAAGGAGGGAAAGAAATTGCTGGACTAACAAACTGAATTGGAATACAAAAAGAGGGAGGTATGAGGAGGTCTGGGAAACAAGTAAATCTAAAAAAAGTTATGAAAAGACGGAATTGTTTTTTAACTGTTTTTCTTTTTTCTTTTATCTTTTTGTATTTTGTATTGTGTACTTTTTTTCTTTATTTTCAGATTTTTCTTTTTTATCAATGTGATTTTATTCCTTGTGAAACTTCAATAAATATTAATTAAAAAAAAAAGTGGGTGGTCGATTTTGGCTATAATATTGAATACGACAAATGGGTTAAATTATGGAACGTAGGTATGAAATTTACAGCATGCTCCACCTTAAGAGAAAATTTAGGAAAAATGATGTACCGGTGGTATATCACCCCAGTTAAATTGGCCAAAATGTATAAATTGAGTAATAAAGCCTGTTGGAAATGTAAAGTAAAAGATGGGGATCTCTACCACATGTGGTGGGAGTGTGAAAAGATGAAAAAAAATTGGGATTTAATATATAATGAACTGAAGAAACTTTTTAAGTATACATTCCCGAAAAAACCGGAAGCTTTTCTATTAGGGATCATAGGGGAGGAAGTTAAGAAGGAGGAGCATAAATTATTCCAATATGCTACTGCAGCAGCTAGAATACTGGTAGCTCAAAAATGGAAATTACAGGAGACCCCAACGATAATGGAATGGCAGGCTAAATTTTTTGAGTATACAGAATTAGCTAAAATGACCTACAGAATTCGAGACAAAAAAGGGACAAAGTTTGAAGAAGAGTGGGGTAAATTTGTGGCATATATAAGATCTAACTGTAGAAGTTTAAAGACTACAGCAGGGTTGATATAAATCCTGTGATGTGTATGGAAGGTGAATAAGAATCTACAAGAGAAGACATATATTAATAAAACTGAAGCGGGAAGGAAGGAAGTCTGGGCATGAATATACGCAGTGTAAATAAGATGACATAAAATGATGACTGTAAAAGATTGTTTTATTTTTGTTTGTGAAAAATTTAATAAAAAGCAATTTAAAAAAAGGAAGTTGTTAAGTGCTTTATAAAATATTATAATAAGCTATATAAAGCAGGAAATGAGACAGAAGATAAAATAAAAGAGTATTTATGTGGAAAGGACATACCTAAAATTAAGAAAGAAAAGATTCAAGACCTAAACTCCCCAATAACCATGACAGAGCTACATCAAGCGATAATTAAGATGAAACTGGGAAAATCCCCAGGTCCGGACGGTCTTACCACAATACATTACAAAAAAATTAGAGGAATCACTATTATCACCTATGAAGATACTTTTAAAAAGAATAATAGAAGACGGGAAGATTCCCAATTCCTGGAAGCAGGCTCACATAGTAGTAATCTTGAAACAAGGACGAAATAAAGAGTTCATAAAAAATTATAGACCAATATCATTACTAAATAATGACTACAAGATTTATGCACAAATATTGGCAACAAGATTAAAGACAGTTTTGCAGGATTGTATAAACAAAGAGCAGGCAGGGTTCTTGCTGGGCAGGAAAATGAGTGATAATATAAGAACAGTGATCAATATGATTGAGTAATTAGACATGAAACCGAGTAAGAAGGTAGCCTTTGTATTTGTGGATGCGGAAAAGGCGTTTGACAAAGTTTCATGGAAATTTCTAAAAATAATATTAGACCAGATGGACATGGGAGACCAACTTACAAGAGGGTTAAAAGCAATCTATGAACAACAAGAAGCAAATATAATAATAAATAATGATATGAGTGATTATTTTAAAATACAGAAGGGCACCAGACAAGGGTGCCCACTTTCACCATTATTATTCATTTTGGTTTTGGAAATACTAAATCAAGAAATCAGACTAGACCAAGAAATAAATGGAATATCCCTAGGAGAGAAAATATATAAAATAAGGGCATTTGCAGATGATTTAGTGTTAATGGTGGAAAACCCAAAGGAAAGCATAGCAAAGGCTCTAGAAAAAAATGGAAAACTTTGGAAAGGTTTCAGGTTTTGCTTTGAATAAAGAAAAAGCAAAACTAATGGTAAAAAACATGGGAGACCAAGAGAAAAAGGAACTGGTAGAAAAATTTGGATTACAAATTGTAAAAAAAAGTGAAATATTTAGGAATTCAAATAACAATAAAAAATATAAATTTGTTTGAAGATAATTATAAAAAAAATGGGAAGAAATAAAAAGAGAAATGGAAATTTGGACAATATTGAATTTAACCGGTAGAATTCCAGCTATTAAAATGAATATCTTACCAAAACTCCTGTTTCTTTTTCAAATGATCCCCATAATAGGTGTTATGTTTCCAAGGGGTTGCTCGGGAGCAAGCAGGCAAATATCTCCCTACTTGGCTGTGAAGACTTGGCTTTGCTGCCAACATAAACTTTATCTGTCTGGAGCGCCACTCTCCCGTGGCTGACTCAATCACTGGCAGAATCCGTGAGTGGGCGGTTCTTAAACTTCCCCCAGCAAAGCAGCTTCTTAACGCCCAGTCTGTGCCTCCCCTCTCTGCGCGAATGCTTTCTGTGCAAAGAGGGCGTGGGCAGCGGAGGACCCCTTCCCTCCCCGCTTCTCCCAGGCAAGGAGTCCTGGGACCGCCTCGCCACTTCCGAGTCCTGCACCACCACTCCACTGGAGCCGCGTTTACTCTCTTCTGTTGAAGAGGAGCTACTTTCCACGATCCCTGGAGGCTCTCTATAATCCATTTGGCTTTTGCTCTCTCCCTCCTGCACTGATGGCAGTTCTCTGACATCCACCCCCTCCTCAAGACCCCCCTCCCCACTGGTGAGGTCTTTTGATGTATCCTCCTCTCTCTCGTTGACTGGCGATGCGGGGAAACCCCTGAAAGAACCGTCATCATCTTCCGTGGATTCAAAACCGGCCTCCCATCCTCTCGGATCCCCTCCAGCTGGTTGAACCTCCCAGTCTGATTCTTCTCCCGCGGACACCTCCCCTCCCTCCTCTTCTGAGGCAGGGAAACCTACAAAGTCCCCTTCGTCGTCCGTGGGTCCGAACTCCTCCTCCCAGAACCTAGCTATTGGTTTGGGCTTATGCGGGAACAAACCATGAAATTCTTCCACCAGATACCCCTCTGTGATGGATTCAGCAGGGACCCACGTGTTTTCAGATCTGGGTTCTCCCTCCCAGGCCACCAAGTACTCTACCTGGTGACCTCGCCACCTCGAATCGAGTATTTCCGTAGCTTCATTACAGTGTTCCCTCTCCTCTACCCGCGG